TTTTTTTTTAATGAACCACGTATATTTCGAATAGGTCTGTGCGATCACATATGTAAGCACGCAGAAACAATCGGAGCTTCGCTATGACGCGCGCGTCTTACATTAGGCTAATTATAATTATTCAGTATCGGTGTTGATCGACTTTATTGCACATGTTTGTCTCTTAAACGTTTCCACTTTTGTCGATTTTTTGCTTTATTCAAAGTTTTAATGTCCAAGACGCCAGCAGACTGCCACGTTGTTCTTCAATTTTTGTGTAACTACTTAAATATACAATGGCGAATAAAAAAAATTGAAAGTTACTCGCTAAATATAACTTCACATTTCGCAAATTTATGAATCACCTGGTGCTGCTTGAAATTTTCTTCCATTCGCTAGTGTACAATGGTACAAACATAACACGTTTGAATCGTTGAAACACGTATCGTGGAATAATTATCGAGTGACATTAATCGTGTTTTACGTGGCAGTCATTACAGAATGACGATAATCTATCGTCACATGTGGCCTCGAAATAAATAAATACCACTCCACTCACCGATACTCTTCGAGATTGTATTTTATACAGTTATTTACACTCTAATTTACACGATTCTCGTCCTAGACTGTGTGATATATTTATAAGATAAATTCAGTAGTTAACGCGTATAATGGATTGCTCGGACGCTAAGTCGATTAATCGATAACTGTGCTCGTTACTTCGAAGTGGATAGCGTGAACGACTGTAATTACGAACTTTAATCCACATCCATTCAAAGACAGACGGGAACGTCGGCTATTTAAAATTTACATTGCTTTTCGTCGAGTCTGACTTTTAACATTCACTCAGTCGACAACATCTTTTGATTCGCGTTCGAACGACGGCAGATAGACTAGTTTAACAATAAACAAACTAACTTTAAGACTATACAAAGACAATGTATTCCCAAACGTGCTTTATTCCAACTTTCGTCGATTGAGTAGAATATATCGATGAAAAAGAAAAGAAAAAGAAAAAGAGAAGAGAAGAACCGAGAAGATGGATCGTTTTTAACCCTCTGTAATCACAAGAGTTAATTAGTCAACTGTGGCTCGAATTTAAAATCTGCCGGATAATCCGACAATCGTCAAAAATGATTCGTTTGATATTTTTCTAAAAATCATCGACAGAAATAAATGAACTAATATTCGTACGATGACGTGTTGTTACCAAACAAAAATTTCATTGAAAAAGAAATTACATTTCCAATCCAACTGAAATCGTTGATAACGAATAACTTTCAAATTACATCGTGTTTGCAGGGGGTTAAGCAGACTACTAGCTTGACCGCGATCCAAGAATCGCACGATGCAAATTCCGATTCAACAATAAACGCGATAGGTGTACACACGGTGAACGTTGAACAAACCGCCGTGCGTGATAATTCGAAGCTGACCAAAATCAACCGACCCGATGGCCACTTTCATTTTCGATCCCGTTTGAAACGGGCGTGAAAATGTCGCTTTACTTCTCGTCGTTGAGTTTCGCCAGCTGGCTGGGATCGAGGTCCGGCGCGATCGTGTTTTGCACCTGAATATGAGTGGAGTGAAGGGGCGGGCAGAGCAGGGGATGATAGGGGAGGCAGTAGTATGGGAAACCGCCGAGCGCTTTGTTCGCCGGATGAATTTGCGGGGCTGACATTTGCCCAGGAAGTTGCCCGGAACCACGAAGTGGCAATCCCCTCAGATGCTCGTCCGGGTGCACGAGAACTCGCACCGCCACGCGTCTCGCGTTTCCGGAATTAACCAGCGCGCCTAGCTCCTGCTGCTGTCGTCTTTTGGTCTTGTACCTGAATCAGGAAATTCGTGGGCATCAGTTCAACAATTTCACTTGCCTTCAGCGCTGCTGAATTTCTTTCTGCGCAATTAAAAGGACGAATAGTTTAAATAAATATAGACGAGTATCGCTTAGTAAAACAACTAGAAACGAGAACACGGCGGGTAAAGTTAGTAGACGGGATCGGTTAAATTAGTTTTGGACATGGATATCAATTTAATCATTTCATTTGCTGTGAGATTGCTGAATTTTTTTCTACGCAGTTAAAAAGATGAAGAGTCTGAATAAATATATGACGAGTATCGTTGAGTAACTAGAAACGAGAACACGGCTGGTAAAGTTAGAAAATGGATCGGTTAAATTAGTTGTAAACAAAGTGGAACATGATTGGAGGAACATATTAGAAGATCAAACCCATGATTACTAAACCACAGATATTTGTGAAAATTCGTACATTTATAACACGATTAACTAACCTCTTGCGCTGGAATTTTTTGTTCCAAATTCCAACATTTTCTCAGTTTCAAGTATATTTAAATACCCAAACCCAGACAAAACAAATGATAACTTTATTACTTCTTAATCATTTCTATCCAGTGATGTCATACCGACGAATTAAACGTTTTAAAAGAAACAGAAAGCGACGAATTATTGTACACGGTTCGGTCACTCGTTATGGTCCGCGCAACCAGTTGCCAGCGCAAGGGGTTGTTAAAGAATTCTTTTTCAGCCGTACCGTCTGTTTTGGAACCAAATCTTCACTTGAGTCTCGGTCAGCTTCAGTCCTCGAGCAAGATCCGCCCGTTCAGGGCCTGACAAGTATTTCTGTGCTGCGAATCTTCTCTCCAATTCGTAAACTTGCGCGTGAGAGAAGGCCGCTCTGCTCCGTTTCTTCCTGCTCTGAAGATTCTGCCCGTGATTCTGCGCCTCGAACATGTCCTCCTCCCCGTCCTCTGCAAAACCATGAGCGTTAACCTCGATCGTAACGATCGTAATCGTCGAGCTCGAATTAATATTCGTCTCGGACGCATCATCTCTCTCTGGAAACAAACTCGAGTTGCGGAGAGAAATCCGCGACACGGGGCTTCTGCAAATTTGCGTGCAAACAAACCGGCGGATCGGGAAAGGATGATCTATCGCGATCATAAATCAAACGTTTCGACGAGAAACGACCAGAACGAGAGAGAGAGAGAGAGAGGGGAGAGAGGGGAGTGGAAGGTTGAACGAAGAAAACGAACGAGTAACCATCGGCGGACAGCAGCCATAGAAGCGGCGAACGATCGGAGAGAGTTCCGCCTGCTTTTGATGTCTCGTTCAAACATTAACACGTGCACTCGCTACTCCGACATGTTTACGCTGCTGTTCCACGGTAATTCTCCTCTCTCTAAGTTTAACCGGTTGCAGTGGAGTGCAATCGCGTTCCCCTCGGCTCCACGAAAATTCTACTCCCTTGCCCCGGCGACGGTCACTTTGTTTCTCGAGCCCCGACGCGCTCGCAGAACATAAACTTTTCGTTGGAAATTCGGGCTATTGTTGGATTTTACGCGCTATCTCGCGATGGGTTTCTTTCGCCAGTTTTATCGTTTATCGCCGGTGTATTGTGTGTTTTTGTGTTGCTTGTTTGAAGCATCTCCGCAACTATGAACGAAATATCTCGTCACGTTCTGTCGTTCGGCGTATTGAAAATTAACGTATGTTATATCAACGATTCGGATGAAAGTGAATTCACGAGACTGCGTTTGTGAATTGAAATATTTGTAAAACATTTTAAATATAATTCTTTTGGTGTGAAATAATTTTGTAACATAATCTTGTATCTGTAATTGTCGAGTTGAGAATAATTCTCAAATGCAAAGTCTCAAAAATCTGAGATGTTTCACCCGAGATCGAATATCGTTTACATGTCAGTTTTCACTATCATTTGAATCGCAATTCGAGAAACAACCAAAAGGACTCGTCGAAGATAGCGTCTCGAAAAGAACGAATTTGCAAGAATAGCGTCGTAAAAAGAATGAACGAAACGCGAGACAAAAACAGCAACAGAGTTCAAAGGAATTCAAACATTCTCCAAACTTCTAAATAATAAGACATCCAGTCCAATATCCAGCAGACATCAAACGAGCGCGAAGACGAGCCGCGAGACTGAGGAAGAAAGAAATAAAGAAAGAAAGTGGGCGAGCCTCGGCGAATATAATACCGAAAAATCCGTTTCGTGTGACATCATAATTATTTCGTACGTAGTCCGGGTCCTGCGTCAATGTTTATCGACAGTGGCCGGCCCAATGAGAGGGGAGGGGACTCGAAGCATTTAGAGAGATCTATATTTGATCACTTTCGACGTCAACTCCGTGCCATCTCGTCCGGCTAATGCGTCCCTCCTCTGATGCTCGTCAAACATCTCCTACGCGTCCTACATCGGGAGTGTTCGAGAGCAGCAAGTGCCGTTTGCTCTCACTCCGATTACATCGAGAGATGACCCTTCGTGTGCACCTTCTCCGAACCGTCCGCTCGTCGTTTTCAAATAAATTGATATGGTCGCTTGAATCTTGTTCAAACGAAACGTTATACTTATCCCCTTTTTGCGTGGACAATCGTAGATGGGGGGGATATTTCCGATTAATTCTTTGCACAAACTTGACTCTCGAGACGAGTGACGAGAGACACAGATATATGCGAGATGGTTCGGTCTGTTAGTTGAATAATAATGCCGTTTCCTATTGAATTGTGTCGTTTAAATTGGTTAATTCTTCGCATAAACTTTGCTCTCAAAATAGAATACGGAAATAAAAATCCACGTGAGATAGTCTAGTCTACTAGTTGAATTTTCATATCGTTTTCCATTGAGTATTAATATTCTACACAAATTTATTTTTCAGGATAACTGAACGTAAGCCAAAGTTGAGAAAATTGAACGATACTAAGCGTTAACATGTTAACACATAACAAAATACGTATGCAATTTGAAAATTTTATCATCCATGATAAATACTGAATATTCAAACTATTCTGAATCTTTGAAAAAATATATATATAAATATCTGAGAATATTTTAGTTTACTACTTTTAGCCGATCGAATATTAGTATCGATTTCCATCAAATAACATGGTCATACATTTAAAAGGAGGTTCCGATTGTAAGAAACTGTTTGGAATATCCTATCCATTACCGTATTAAGTGATTCGAAAGCACGGATGGCGGGAAAACCAGGGGCTGGGGGGGGACTCCGTAATTTCGTGAGTGAGCCTTGAAACGGTGCCAGCTTGTACCTGCTCCTCTTCACCCTCGAGTGGTGAACAAGCGTTGAATCGTCGCGAGCGAACTAACTTCAGGCACGAATTACTTAATTACCGGTCTCTTGTGATCTCGCTGTATCTGTTAATCCGAAAATTATCCGGAATGTCTCAGCGAATCGAAATCGAAATTAAAATCAAAAGAATCGCGTCGAAAGTATCGTTCGAGCGTGTCGGTTTATTATTCGGATTCGAGTTGGAAACGATCGAGCCCGGATCGACGTGTAGGAGAAAGCGGTTTCTTTCGAACACGGATTTGGGTAACCTTGATCTAAATTTGCTTTTTACCGCGATCCACGGATCCAAGAGGATCCAAGACAGAGAAAACAGTGTGGCCAGGGATCGGAACAAGTGCAAGAAGCAGAGTGGGCCGGCCACTTGTGACGTCTGCCGCAGTCGAGCACCACTTATGCTACTAAAATTACATTCGATCACGTTATCTGCGCTCGGGTTAACTTAAAAAACCCTTGAAAAGCTCGCCTGTTACAAGGATACCGGAGGCCTAAATGATCTCTTAAGCCCCGCATCCTCGTGGCAGACACACGATCACCCAGAAGGGAGGAAGCGGCCTTCGAGATTTCCACTCTAAGTGGAGCCCCAGGGCTCTACCCTACCCTCTTCCAGTTCATTCAGCTCTATCTGGTTATCACCAGTCGGTAGACAGAGGCCGAGATTGCAGACCTCGTAATTTCACCTCTAGTTAGCCCGTCGTCGAGAGAACCAAGAGGAAATCGCACGTGGAAAATCGAAACAACTCTTGTTTCGTCGATTTTCCACGAGAGACTCAAGTAAGACAGTCGGTTCGATCATCTTTGGAACGTTTAACCCTTTCGATCATTGAGCTCGCACGTCTAGGACCATGCATTTCTTGCTTCACTATGCTAGATCTACCAGAATGAACAATTCGTAGTTTTTCAGAAATTTTAAAGAAACATAAAACATTTTCTACTCCCTGTTAAAAATTCGATACTTTCTTATATGTCGAAATCAAAGAATATATAAGTAATTACAATCTGGAAGAGGCAACAGTTTTTCAAACTTTTACACTACTTTACGACCGATTTTGATTAAAAATCGAATCTTTTGCTGAGCAATCTGCTATTTGAACCGATAATGAAAGCGTTGACGATTTATAATTTCAACGACAGAATAGTATCGTCGCAACAAACAACACTCACCCAAGTATTTGTTCTTGCTCATATCCAACGCCTCGTCTTGCTGCCTCTGCGAGGAATCCCTCGAATCCTTCACCGGCTGATAACTACTCATGTTGCCCAGGTTCTCGAGATGCTTGAACGTTCCTCCCTGTGCCAAGTGCGGAATAGTCCCAAAGTTGGAGATATTCGCGTGGACCAGATTTCTCGTCAGTATGTCTAGCTCGCGAGCCACGTTGAGATCCGGCGAAGGTAGCCTCGAGAATCTCGCCATCTGATTACGATCCTCCAACTGACCCTCCCTGTGATCGTTCTCCAAACACTCGTACTCGCGTTGCTGAAGTCTTTTCGCGTACGACGCTACGGCTTGCGTTTCCTCCGACTCGGATGGTCGTCGCTCCTCGCAAGAGGAGCCTCTTCTGCTGAGGATGTCGGCGATACTGAAGGGAGTCAACTGAGACGGTCTCGGGGAAGCTTCGCTTCGTTTGTCGTCTTCCACGACATCCGACATCTCTTCCACTTCCTTGTATCGAAACGCGACTTTACAGAAATTGTTCTGTCGAAAAAAAAAAAACGTCCCTCTCGTCTCCTGTCTCAATCTTCACGAATTCAACGATCGTGCTTCTTCCACCCCCTCAATGTCCATCGTTTTTACACCGGTCACTTTCATCGACCACGTTTCTCCGGCATCGTTCACTACGGTTGGTTCTTTCGTCGACGAACAACTCCGATCGATCTCTGTTTCCCCTTTGTTCGAGCCACGATGTCGACTCGAATCAGGGATTTTTTCGAACCAGTGCACGCTCGATGGTAGCCACGACTCGACTGGCCGACTCTTGCACAGTGGAGGAGGAACCCACGGCGATGAACGCGGCGCGACGCGTTTATTAATTGTCACTCGCGAGTACTCGAGAGGGCCGCGTGCACCCTTCCGCGGCGAGCGTGCTTCGGTCAAGTGTGCTTGTCGCTGCTCGTGGAGACTTATTTTTCGAATTAGTCCGCGGCCACTTCGCTGCCAGCTTCCTTCTTCCCTTCTATCCGCGCCCGCCATCTTCCCCTTCTATGCCAGCCACCCCCCACCAACCAAACATCCCTCCACTCTCGTCGATCAGCGGCCAGAGGATCGTTCCTCCTCGTCCATCGACTCTTTCCAGGCTCGGGACGCGGGTTTTTCTGCGTATCTCTTTGGTGATCCTTCAACGTTTAACTGACCAGGGGGTGAAACGGGGGTGGAATGGTAAATTGGTCTTTTCGAAGATTGCGCGATTTAAAATTGGATCGACGGTGTTTTAGATTCATTTAGATCGTGAATTTGGCTAGTTATAGATTTGGTTGATTTTTACTGGGCTCTCGAAATCATTGTTGTGTTTTTTTAGGTGTCAGTAGTATATGTAATTATTTTTGTGACGAAGTCTTATCTCATCTTTCGTTCGATTATCTTTTACTTACCCTATACCTGTTTACTTCTTTTCGTTTTACGTTCGCTCGCTAGTTACAGTAGAATAAACCGTGTCTGTACAGACTTTCTATCCGAAGAAGTTCATACAGTTAAATAGTAAAATTATGATTTTTTTAACTTTCTTGCAGCCTATTCTTTCTTCGCTCCTTCAATTTTGTTCCAGCATCAGTTGAAAATGCAGTCTTCAATTTAATTTTCAAATCTGCTACACTAAATCTATCATAAAGTTCTACCATCTTTTCCACCCCGAGTTTATTTATTTATTTTCTCTCGCGTTTCGCTTTCAACCCCTAAATTCACAGCGATAACGCGTTCCTTGGTCTAGAGCTAGTCTGGTGGCCGGTGAAAATTCGAGTTTCGCGGGTCGTGGCGTAGGTGGAGCTTTAAACGAGGTGCAGATTGAAAGCGGGACGCCCGACGAAGCTTCCGTCACGACGCAAGCCTCGCCCTACGACCAATCCATGGCTCTGGCCGCGTCGTCGCTTTTCCACAGGAACCAATCGACGATTCCTAGAAGCTCTTCAGCTTCGAGGTGACGAGAGAACCAGTTCTCAGAGTGGGATCTTCCCTTGCGTTCTTTCTTTCATTCTTTTTTTTTCACGGTCGCCGCGACGGGGGTGACGAAGGGTTGCTCGACCAAGTGAAACTCTTTCAGGTATCCTCGTTTCGCGACAGTAGAGCTACTTTCTCCAAGTATTCCCCCGTTGCACGGTCTCCTGGGAAATTTGGAATATCCTCAAGATCGGCGAAACCACCCGATGCTCGATTTAAGTGTTGGAGCTTAAGAATCGGGGTGGTTTAAGACATTGCATATTCGCAGGATTCGTCAGGTGCAGTTTGAGGAAAATAATTAGAAATGCTTTCGAAACAACTTGAAATTATTGAGAACCATGTTTGTCTATGACTTTGTGAAAGTATAAAATCAATAAGAGATTTCAGCAGGAACTCGCACAAGTTTGAAGCATCCCTCTTAATTTTGTCTGAAACAATGTTTTCTCGGCAAATGAGATTATACGTTGAATTACTGTTTACAAAATGTAACCTACTATTTAAATTGTATTTGTAATTACCTTATTGATAGAAATTGGTGGATATTCTAAATTTTTGAAGCAGTATCTGCTGTAGTATTATTCCATTGATTTTAACGTGAGTATGTAGATGCACGATACTAAATTCCGACAGAATCTCTCACAGACAAAATTCTCAAGCATTGACACTAATTAAACGGCGTTTAACACACCACGTCTATCTTTTCAACTCCGCTATTCATAAAATCTTAGTCACTTTTCATTTATCTGTTTTCAAACAATCAAGTTTTGCAACAAGCCAGACGAGCCAGGCCGTTTCTCCTTGTTAAAATATAACTGCCAATCTATACGCGTACATGTTAAGTGTGCCAAAGTGTGAGAGTTGTATTTATATGCTGATGTGGATGATGACGATTGTATATATTATACAGTATGTACAACGAAGAAAGTTCTAGAAAGGACGAAACCAGTGAACGGTAAACAAGTGTATATAAACATTAAAATTTGATTTGAGACGTTATTAAAAGTAACACCCTAAGAACTATATTCCACTGCTACAGACTAATAAATTCCAATACTCCGAACCGTCGGAGCTACTTGGAGACTCGACTTTTGGAGAATCTGAAATCAGATATTTCACAGGTGAGAGACGCGAGCAATTGACGATGGTCGCTCTGTGAATCGCGTTCTAACGCTTTCAAAAAGTTGCCGCCGGCGGTGGGATGTGGGATGTGGGTAGATAGAGACGGTTACGGTTCGTACGTACTTCTCGTCTCGTATCGAGTCGAGAGGAGCCGAACGGTGCATATATAGGGTGTGCTTTACATAACAATCGCCGCTAAAGACTTGCAGCATTGTCCGCCACGTGCTGTCAGCCGAGTTCCTATGGCGGTTTAATTAAGTGTGAACCACAGGAGCGTGGATCACGCCTCACTTGATCCGATGATGGCCTCGCGCGTTCCAGATATCGACGAGGAAATAATTCCACGTTTCTTTCGCGATATTTCTTGGAATTCGTCCCGCCGCAGCCATTTTTGTCCCGATGGACAAAAATCAACGCGTGACCATGTTCTCGCAAAGATGATGTTCTTGTTCGTTAAGAGTCGAAATATTCACCATTTGAGATAAATAAAAGGTGAATTGTTCAAAGTGTCTTTGAAGGACGAAAGGATGAACGTGTGTTACAATATGAGCAACAGGGTTTCTTACATTTGAAATGAAATTATTAGTCGTTATTATTTGTTCTACGAACGAACCAATTTGTAGGTACACTACAAATCTCAGGTCGCTGATTTTTGTTCGCTTGTGAGAAATTTAAAGAAGATGCAAAACAGGCGCAGAGTGTATCAAAATGTATAATATCTTTTCTTATTGATTTTGGCATCGTCCTCTAGTATGTCAGAAACCATTCAGTTGTCGGTAAGAGGACTAACAGATCGGTAAGAGGACTAATTCATCGTCCCCTCGAGTCTACAAAATTTCATCCTAGTCTTATATCCCGTTAACTCCTAGAAATGTTTGCTCCAGCTTTGTTTCTTTAGTCATGTTAAAAAAAATTTAAGGTCCAGTGGTTACGAGACACAGTATTAGTACATGTTGCCAGAAGATTGGCCACAAAAAATCCTTCGCCAGAAACAAACTCCAGGGCCTCTTGCAAGTGACGACCCTCGTGACAAGTATTTTCATCGGGGGATCGATCGACGCGCGGGGGAGATCGACAATTAGCAGGTGACGACGGGTAATCGAACCGGAAAAACGACGTCCGCCATTTCCCTATTAGCCATTCCAGGGGTTGACAAAGAGAGGAGCTTCGTAGATAGAACGTGCCGTCTCGGAGACGGCGATCTCTCGAAGACGGACCACGTCCTTCCTTCTCGATGGAACCGCGGCTCTCCTTTTTCTCGATTCGATCTAATCAATAATAAATTATAGGGGGACGTCGGTACATCTCTCCCCTAGGAGCTAAGCCCTGACCCTCCCGCTCAATTGGTCGCAATTCTTAAAGACCTTAATTGGCGCGGAAAATTATACCTTATTTCAGTTACCCTCGAACGAGACCAGCCACCCCCCCTTTCCACCCCTGTCGAACGTCGCTAGCTTCGCTGCTGGTGCGGCGGTTTGCTTTCTTACGAGCTCCACTCGGATATTTCCTTTTGCTTCCTTCGTTCCGATCGAGCACCTACCGATCCGTGGAAACTCCTCGAGCCACTTTCAACATCGCCGTGAATCGTGATCGCATTTGGAAATCGTTGTTTCCCACGCGGTGAACTCTCGCTGGCTGTCGTCTTATTGTTAGACTGGGTGCAGTTGCGTTGTTTCGTCGTCGAAATTCGTCTGTGAAAATTATTTCTAAAATTATCCTTTCATCGAGCACAGTGCCATTGTCTGCCTACTTTTTATTTATTTTGAACCAAATGAGAGGAGAATTAAATCGATGAATTTATATCTAGCAAATTTTTGTAACCTTTGTTCGTGTTCTGGAACTCGTCGTATATTAGTTAAAAAAAAAAAAAAGGGTTGTTTGATAAATTCTTATTTGTCGTCAGTAGGATATGTAAGACATAAAAAATTTATTTTCCTTCTCTTGATCTAGATCGCTGTCTGAATTGATCCATATGGAATGATTACTTTACTAGTCAATCTGCGAAACAGTACGTGCCTTTCGTTGTCTTCATTGACGCAAATTTGCAACCTGGTCGCGTCCCCGTGAATTGCTCCATTAATAAATCCGAATTCTTCCAAAACAGTACAGCGAACTCGTCACAAAGCGCTTGTCTATCACCGGGCCTTATAAATAGCGTTTCGCGGATCGAGACGTGGGATTCGAACGAGATGTTGCGATCATTCGCGAAAGCACGAAGTTAGATTCGAGAACGTGGAAGTTGAGACGTGAAAGGTTTGCACGGAAGGGTGGAAAGGAACGCGAAGGGCAGAATATAGAAGCTGATTCCGCGAAGATGAGACAGGAAATTCGTGGACGGCGTTTAACTGGCATTTGACGACACGAAAAGTAACGAAGATCTTTGGGGGCTGAAAGGGAGGACGAAGAGAAAGAGAGATAAAGAGAGAGAGAGAGAGAGAGCGAGTAGTGCGTGCGCTCTATGGGCGGGCATAAGAATATAAAAACAAGAAGACCGGATGACTGCTAACTGTTTGTTAGTCTTGGGTTTTAAAGTCCGCACGTCTGTCAGTCCAGAGATGTAATATTAGTGCTTAGTATACGCTGCCGCCACCGCCTCTCGCTCATTTACTTCTTCCTCTCCTTTCATCCTCTCTGCGTTTACCTTTCGGTCCTGCGTTTTCTCGCCACCCCTTGCATCTTGCCCCTTAGGAACGATGGAATTGCTCAATGAATCTTTTCTACCGAGATTCCGGACGTAAACTTCGTTTTCTTCTTCTCTTTTTCTTTTTATTTCGTAACGTTTCACTGTTGCGGTTTCGAAAGCTTTCGGAAACGATCGTTTCGGTTCAAATGACTCCCAATCTCGTTTTCTTTTCGGTTCGTTATTTATGTCGCGCTTGGAATTTTCACAAATTCTAGCATCGATTTGCCGTTGATTGGTCTATATTGCCTGGCAATCGAAACCAAGCGTTCTTTTGTGGAAGGTGTACTAATATTTGGATAAAACTGAAAGTTCATGAATCGGGACACGGTTATATTGCTTGTTAAGCGAGTTGATTGCTGTACCACGGCGGGATGACAGCAGAAACTGCTGTTCTTTTAATGGTTCCGGTAGTTTGTGGATTGGCTAGTTTATCGGTACTATTTTCGTCCGTTTGTAGCCTGCCGATTCCTAGCATTAATGAGCGTTTCAAAGACGGATGACAGCGCGACTATTTCCGATGGCCCAAACTTTGCTTTGCTCGTGACACGAGCGGCGGTTAAGGAATAAACACAAATTATTTATCAATTGTTTAATCAAATTAAAATTAAGATCGAAGAAACAACAATATTTATCACATGACACTTTCATGATCAAGTATTGAAAAATGATAAAAATTGAAAGGTAATTTCTTGATAAATTGTTTCAATTTCAATGTTAATAAAAATATAGGAAGTTATTCTTTACGAGTCATTGACATAGAGCGCGCTAAAAAACGTATCTGGCGGGAGAATTTCAAACGACTTTCTCTACAGTCGATAAATGAATATCTTACAGCGTTCCTACAATGCTCTCAGTCGATTATACAGATTTCCACTTTGCAGACAGTTAATTCATCGTCCATCGGTACAACAGGTTATCTACAAAAACTTGATATAGAAAATTATATTAAATTACTTATTTAAAAAAAAGTATCCTAAAAAATATTGTTTCATGGTTTAACATGTTAAACCATTGGTAGGAAATATGATTCGAGGTAAAAGTAAAAAGTGTAAAATTGTCTGTGCCATTGAATTTTTACGAGCGTCATCACTATAATTAGCTGTCAGTGACGTTACATTCGCATCATTCATGTGCATTCGTATTTTAGCATGTCGTACTTCAGTTCAGTGCTTACAATTTGGTTATTTTAAATTCTCACATTTACAAATGGAGTTTTACTTCCGGATTAATTACATATTCCTTTAATCACCAACAGTATATTCACATACTCACAGAAAAAAAGATGATTAATGAGTTATGTGAGAGTAAAATAAGAACAGAATTCATATATTTGCAATTGGAATTTTACTTACTCTAATTAACTACATACTCTTTTAATCACCTTTAAACAGAATATTCACCAGACGCAACGTACTACGAGCAATATTCGCGGGAAAAAGGAAATACGATAGATGATATGATTAATGAGTTGTGCGTGAGGATAAACGCGATCGTTTCTAAATAAATCCAAACGTTCTGCTGTACGTTTTATGCATATGCACTCCGGTCTTTATTTGAACAGCATCAATATTTCGTGTTCCCTTTCGCGTCTCGTGGATATTCACCTAGCTTCCTATTCGATCGCAGGCAAATAGGATCGGGTTTCGAAGTTTAACATGCGATGATTGATTATGCGAATACACACGATCTCCTAATGGAACTTTCAGCAGTCAAGCTGGAAACGAAGGAAGGAATTGCATTTGGTTCGCAAATTGCTTGCATCGGTAATCTTTTTAACATTAACTATGCAATAACTAAATATCCAAAATGCTGCTTTTTTTTAAGTTATATTTTTATTTTAATAATCAGACCATATAATCAGAATTTCGTCTGGGAAAAGAAAGAAAGATTATTAGCTCCGATTTAAAATTTGGGAACTAGTTAGTTAAGAATCTCTGAATCATTTGGTATTTTTGTAATGCTATATTTGATAAACTTTAATACGGTAATGTAATAACTAAAATTAATTTACCAAAATGTGGATATACAAATATATAACTTATAGAGAGTTAAATTAAACTTATTAAATCCTACGATATGTTACTTTCTGATCTCTCCCTAACCAAGAATATTTAAACAATGCAGTTACCACTAGAATTATCGACAATTATGTGTCGCAGAAATTGAAGAGCGAGGAATATAAGAAAATTATCAGGTTGAAGTAAAACGTAAAGAATTTGAACTCTCGACAAATGTTCAGAACACTGTTCCAGTTCTATCAGTTCAAATTAGAAATTGGTCGTTTCAACTACACTTAGTTGGCCAAATCGTAGATACTCTTATGGCGTGTCTTCACTGCCAGGCGGAAATTAACGCGCAGAGAAACCGTAGGGGAGTTTGAGGAACCGTATCTGGAACGCATCTGTGGAAAGGAAGTAGATCTCGAGGAACAAGTGCGGGCAGGTGCTTCGCAGGTGCGGCCAGGGGCGGAGCGAGGTCGTCTCTGCTTCGAAAGGGTGGTGTGTTGGCTGTGCTCGTGGAAGGTGAGATGGCCGTGTATGGGAAACGCCACGCGATCTGCCTCGGAACATCGGCAGCGACATTTTTATCAGCTTGTTCCCATGGTCCTTTATGGCGGCGGTAGCACCATGAACAACGATTACGCCGACGTTGAATCGCCTATGTGAAGGCACTTGACTGCCAGATGACCCGTCGTGCTCGCGCGATAACCTAAAAGGCACCCATGGCTTCGCTCAAGCTGTCAGAACTCACCTATTTATAAATCCCATTTCGCCATATTTTTGTTTTATCGACCTGGACGATGTTTCTCGCGACGAAACGGTGAGATCGCGCCGATGCGAAATGGAATTGGCGAGGGAACACCGATGGGATCGGATTGGTTTTACGATCTTTCAAGTAGACTTTTAATACTTTAATACCTGACGTGTCCGTGTTACTTAGGAATGGAACATTCTTTGGGAACCATGACTTAAGTGATTCTAGAAATTAGTCGTTTCTTTCGCTTTATTTACTGTTACATTCACCTGAACTGATGCTTCTTGCGGTGTGAACGATGAAACAACGAGTAAAAAAATTCGCAGGGAAACTTTAGTATCAATTGATTTTATATTCCAAGTAGTTTTTCAACCTTGAAATAATTAACTAAGGAGAAAAGCAGAGGAGGAGGGTAAAGTGAAACGATTCCAGAACTTAGTCATTTCTCTCTCATTTATTTATTTTCCTCTTTGAACATCTTTATCTACGAAACTGCAACAACAGAATCGCAGATTTTCGATCGGAGAGGAAGATTTCGTTGTACAGTAATCGAAGCGAAGCTATTCGCGAATTTTCCACAGACGAATGTGTTTGTCGGATTGAAGAACCGGTTTATCGAGTGAAAAAAAAAAAAAAAAAAAAAAAATAGAATCACGAGAAGGACGAGGTCTGCGGAATACCGGGTAACTGATGTTTCCGCAAAAGCCACTTGAAGTAATTTCCGTTCGAGCCTCTTGAGCGGCGCGTTACCATTTCGAAGGAAGGAGGATATCTTACCTAACTAAACGAGAACCACAAGGAGAAAAAGAAAAAAAAAAAAGAAGAAAATGATACACAGCTGCTCGAAGGTCTTACTAAATCTATATCGATCTTAATGTTACTGCAATCGTTGACGATTAAAAGATGCACCATCCGCGATTACTCTTTGGCTACCTGTTTGGCAACGTTGTCTAATGTTCGAGACTTGCGAATGAAGATTGGTCTATTCTTTGCTCTTTCTTTTTTATTTATTATCTCGTTTCTTATTTTGGAGTGTGCAAGTTTTAACTGTATAATTAATGTTATTGATGATCTTCGTCTTGCAAAATACGGAATAAGAACGAAACTGTTGATATAAATTAAATGAAATTGTCTAAAGCATTGCGAGTTACCTGCAATTCGACGATGCCATTCGAGAGAAAAAACGTAATTTATATCTGGGAATATTAAAGATTGACGAAAACGTGAAACGTGATTCGTTGCAGAAACAACACTCTCGACATTTCGATTCTCTCGCCGTTTTAAACAATTCCTTACCATCTAACCCGTGTCTGTGGTTCACTCGCAAGTGCAAATCTAAAATCTAGAAACGCTGTCGTGTTCCCTTGAATTTCGTACAATGTAATACTTTTCACCGATCAATCCACTCTGTGCGTGTCTCCTCAAGAAATTGTTTCGACTTTTCTACAAAATTTACGTAGCCTAGCTCAGAGATCGAAGCGTTAGCTTCCGAAACAAATCCTTTCCTACCACAATCGTTGGAGATTCTGGTCCATAGGCATCTGTTCCATGTAATTAACGTACTGCATCTGGTAATTGGCCGGTGGCAAGTAATTGGGGAATCCGTAATCGCTTCCCGAAACGTCCATCATCGGTCTGCCGTCGCTCGTCATAATTTTACTCTCCGTCGAGGTGCTCTTCAAATCCGAAAACGCCGCAACATCGCCGTTGACGCTGCTCGCGTTCCCCTTTATTTGCCTGTGACAGTCGTGCACACCGACTCGTGGATCCGTGGCCAAATTGTTCCTGAAATCCGTGCTAACGAGCACGTGCTGTCTGGCTTGTATCTCTCCGTTCAAGCTGGCTGACTTGTCGGCAAGGTCGGAGCTGATTTCCGTCTTGAATTCCGGGCTGATACTCGTGTCCATCCTCGGGTCGTTCGAGGTCGATCTGAATTCGGGGCTCAGTCGTATTTCGTTCATTCGGAAGTCCGGTTGCAACGGGACGCCGAGCTCCGCTGGCCTGATGTTGGACCAGTAGGGAGGATTGTAGGATTCTTGAAGATGCGGCTTGCCATCCTTGATCAGCACTGGCACGTGGATCTTCTTCAGCGATTGGTTCTTCATGTTCTGCGCCTGCAGTTTCTCCGCGTCCTCCAGCCTCGCGCGTTTGTTCTTGTACCGTCGGTTTTGGAACCAGATCTTCACCTGGGTGCTGGTCAGTTTTAGAGTCTGGGCGAGCAGCTCTCGCTCCGGGGCGCTCAGGTATCGTTGCTGCTTGAATCGTTGCTCCAGCTCGTACACTTGGTTCTGCAAAGAGTCGAGGGTGGATTTTTAATTGAGAAAGGCACTCGTATGGGATTGGATGGGATTACGGAAAATTTTTGATATCCGAGTGGGAAATTGAGAGCGGTTAAAGTTTAGTCGAGATAGAAGAAATTCGAATATACTGTAAATGCATAAGGATCCTCTCTCTGAGTCAAAATGAACGTTCTGCTTTCTGTTGATTTTTGCATCTTTGAGTTTTGCAAAAATCTACGAATTGATTGGCAATTAATGACTTTAATTAATTACGATATTCGATCGATAAATAATTTATAATTTATAATTATTTAATAATAATAACAATGATAACTCCCTGTGGGTCTGGGAGAAGAATAGACCCAACGTGTAATCCCTGCGTGTCGTAAAAGGCGACTAATAGGGTACGAATCGCATGATTATTCCTGTTTACTCACTTGAGAAAACAGCACTCTCGGCTTCCTCTTCGTCCTCTTGCCAGACTGACTTTTCCGCAGCTCTGTTTTGCTCGATGTGACCACGTTACCTGTAAAACATTCCCGACACTTCGTCACTCGCGAATCAATGGAACAAAAGGAATCTAATAAAATGGAATATCAGCCATGAAATACACTGAATTTTACGCACCGTCCTCTGTAACCGGTGAATCCTGATACGGAGGAGCGATCTGATTCAGCTGATGATGAACGTGCGTCAAGTCAGGATAGTGAGCGTAAGTCGGCATCATCGATTGCTCCTTGAACTTCTCTGCGTCCCAATTGTTATCTGGCACGATGTTGTAACCGTAATATTCCTGAGGCACGTGCTGCTGCTGGAACTGGTGTTGATGGACAGGAGGGTAGCAATCCATGATTCCGAGTTGCTGATCCTCGCTGAGAATGTCACGGACGCTGAACGGAGTTCCGGAGACCGAGGACGACAACATTCTAACGCATTCTCGCGAAATGTCCGCGATTTTCCTTCAAATCCTCGAACGATATAAACTCCGCTTTCAAGTATTCCGTCGCGCGGACAGAAGACAGTTTTCGACGTTCGACACTGTCACTTTTTCAACACATCTAGCCTATCATTTTCTACGTTCTTCAGAAAATGGTGGAAGACTCCATCCGAAGAACCTCTGCGTTCTTTCTACATTTATAATTTTTATCCTTATCTCTTTACAACGAATTTACAACAAAAAAGAGTAATCAAAGTAAGAATCTCTCGCGATCGTTTTCTACATTCTTCTTTAAAACAGATTCTACAATTTTATAGTTGTCTTCCAAACAAAAATGAATGAAGAAAAACAGCGTGGCACTTGTGATCTTTCTTTACGTACGAAGTTTAGAACTTCACTCTTGTTCGCCGAAAGTTTTGTAAACTTCTGATCTTCTTCGTTATCTCTACGATTTCACCATTGTTCTCCAAAAAAAAAGAAAAGAAAATTTCACTCAAAGAACTCTAACTCTTTCTTCTTTCATCCATCCATGATCGAAAATTCGCAGAAACGATTTGACGGTCGAATCTACCAGCTTGCAACTACCGACTCGTAAACCCCGACGATAACTTCTTCGAAACGTCGTAGCCTATGAAGGGTATAGTGACACTGGTCGAGCGCTACCAGACGAAACTGTAAAAATTGGAAACGGTTGGTTAGGGCCGCGAACACGCGCGAGTACCTTGAACGCTCGCGTTACCACGTCTCGGGGGATGATGGTCACGGCTGAACGGTCAGGCCGGAGGGCAGACGCTCAATGTGACTCGCTCTGACAGAGGGAGTCAAGTGTTGGCCTCTTCTCCGTGGTTCACACAGAAACAGAAGGTGAGCGCGTGTGCGTGTGTGACTGATTTTTACCAGCACGCTCCCGCTACATCTGTGAATCTCGTGCAGCGAGGCGACCACGGGGTGGTCTCATCTTCTGATTGGAGATTTTAATTTGTCTTTCGGTCGACGGATTACTCGGAGGGAGTTTGCCACGGGAGTTCGGCTCGCGAAAGGGGAGTTTTTCTTTCCCGCTGGTATCTTTCTTTCTTCGTTTCTCATTTTCAAAATCTTTGGTGCATTTGGTGTTTCATGCTTGTCGTTAATTTAATATGTCGATCTGTGCTCGTATGTCGATTCCTTTTTTTTTTTTTGTTTATACTATACAGTAGGTAACATTCAATGTACTCTATTTCACAGAACATACATCGAGATTTTTGGCTGGTGGTGTATACAAGTTTAAAATCAAATTTGGTCCAGAGTAATTACTTAATTCACATTTGTCTCGCTGTTTCATTGATGCGCTTTTAATTGGTTGTATATACTCATTTTTTTTTGTGCCCCAAGCCCTTCTCTCTAATGTTCAACTACACGTTTCTTATCGAGAAGCTGTAGGGTGAGCCTCGGTAGCTCGTCGTTTCTTTTTTACGCCTTTTTTATGAGATTCTTAAATTCCGTTCGAAGGCTGTACGGGGCCGTTTCTTAAACACGGTTTTGAACTACCGCGGTTGTTGCTGTACCAATAAACGTTTACAATTGTATATCGTGCGACGAGCCATCGACGACGATCGATTAAGAAACGTTGAAAAATTACGTCAAATTGGAGCCTCTTCTGCGACTGTGCGCAGAATATTCGAGTGGAGGGATCGATCGGCGCTTCGTGAAATTGAGAAAGAGAGAAAAAAAGGAAAGAAGAAATCGACTCGTCCTCGCGTCGCATGATAATTATGAGGATCGGAAGTGCGTGGTCGATTAAGGAGACGGCAAATCGGTTTTTACCGTGGAACAGCCATAACGCGGTGAGTAACGTTGGGGCGGAGGAGAAGACTCAAGGCCCGCCTATGCTTCAACAACCGAACCAATCCAGACATACCGCGAACGAGACTTCTAAAACCGGCGATTAAATCTCGATTCGCGTGATCGCTGCCTTTCTGTACTCGTGCCAGTCATCGTTTCCCTTTAAATCACTCAAAGGCTCCATAAATTAAAGATAATAATTAATCTCGGATTTCGGAGGAATTTGATTTATTGAGCCTGAAAAACTTTTTGGAGCACCATGTCTCTTTTTGTTATTGTAATTTGTTAGTCTTCCTTTCTCAAAGTGTTTATATGTCACTTTTCTTTCTTATTTGTTATTATAAATTAAAAATAATAATTTTCATCTTTGAAAGAGGCATTGGAATTCAGTTGTGAGCATCTGTTGAAAGAATTTTTTTGAGAATCTTTTACTATTTCTTTCTTCAAAGTCAAGTTGTACTTTTTCCCTCTGTTTCTTACATATTTGCGTATCGATCTCCCTTCTAAATCAAAGATAAATGCCCCAAAACAGTAATTTTCATCCTTAAGAGAGACGCTGGAATTTAATTGTAAGTATTTGTTTAAACAATTTTCAAACTACTGCGTTCGTTATTATTATCTTGACTTTTTCAAAGCCAAAGTCTTATTGTACGTCACTTCTTTCTTGAGCTGAAAGTGGTAAACGAAAAGTATAATTTTTGTCTGTTTCGTTTTCTATGTATCTCCGAAGCAACGATATCCGTCGGAATTTTGAGGAAACGAAACTCATCAGATGTGTCAGAAACGTGACAAGTTATAGCGGTCGCGAGGTATCGATTTCGTAACTGGATCGCGGGAACTGGTGGAACGAGATTGGAAAAGAAAATAAAACAATCCATTTTTCCTAGGCAGGACGAAATCTTGGTGGTTCATCCTCGAGGCCGCGACATCGACGAGTCGAAAGTAACATATACCAGACGCGTCTTTTCGAACATCCCGAACCCTTGACGCTTATGGAATTCGAAAAAATCGCCGTTGTTTAAAGGTCTGAGTTGGTTTGGTTTACCTGGCCTTAAAAAATCACGCGATCTGTTATTTATTCTATCTTTGTGTATTTTTCCTTGCCATGCATCTTGCTTCTAGTTGGTTGAAAAATATTCAACATTGTTCCGTGTTTCTATTCTCTAAAATGAGGATTAATTCTCAATCGGTATTATTGAGCATTGGATATCTTCATTATTATAGATAAATTACTGTAATTATCTATGTATTGTACATATATAAAACACACGCGTAAGCAGACACAAGTTGTGAGAAGTTTACTAAATGAAGTAGGAAATTTAATTCAATTTCATCCAAATGCAGAAGGAAAATTACGTAAAAATTCTTATCCATCATGTATATGCAAATGCTTTGATATAAATGATGGATAAGAATTTTTACGTAATTAATAACTTACTTATACGTAACTGGTATACTGGCATTTTAGAAGAGATGCATAAAAGAATAAGATGAACGCTCCGATTTGTGCATTGCAGTTCTAAATTATTAATTTTCAATGGGTGTATTTACTCTGCGTTTGACAAATATCAATGCTCCTAATTTACTACTCAACGTGAGTATATGAATAATATAAATAATATAAATTCTTGATATGATGGTGCACCACTCAACAGATTAAGAAACTTCAGATTTATTTATCTGTTGTGTTCATTTACAAGCGAACGATTACGAATTGAAAATTATTGTCGACGTGATTTTTCTATGCTCGACAAAATTCTCGAGACGTTTAATCGCTCGACATTTTGCACTTGAGGTTCTCGCGAAAGGAACATTGTGTTTCGATTGGCGTCTCGTTAAGAGGCGGCGGAACTCGCCGCTAATTCGCGAACGAGGAGCAACCACCGACAACCCTTGCCAAACGAGGCGGCTGTTTATTATTCTACGCGTATTCTCTTGGAACGTGTACGCAGAATTACACGAAGACGGCGCGTGCATGCGTGCGTGCGTGCGTGGTCGTGTGGATGCGTGGTAGGCGCCAAGAGATACCGAGGCGCCTTCTTAATTGTGGGAAAGCGGCGCCGGCGTCTGGAGGACCGCGCGCGCGTCGTGTGAAGTCACCGTGCTCCGAAATCCCTCGATTTTTAAACAATTCTTCAAAGGACGGCCACTTTTTCCGGGGAAAATTCTGGAAAATCTCGGCCATTTTTTTCGTTCTTTCCCCTCTTTTTCTTTCGTTGCACGCTAGAGCATTTCCACTCTCGATCCAGCGATCTTGAACCCGTGTTCGTAACATTTTGATATTTTTAATGTTGAATACTGGGATTTTTTTTTTTTTTACAAATATTGCGAATATACAAACTATCTTAAATTAATCGTAAACCATTTATTAGATGAAGGAATGATTCAAACAAAGTTCGTATCATATTAAAGAGATAATAAATTTTTGTTTATTATTTTATTTTTTTCTTCTAATACAAATTTTGAACTTTTTAGCTTTTTAGGTTAATTCACCGTCTGTTTCTAAATCTTGAATAATAGAATGACCAGCATAGTAGGATTTCTTTGTAGAGAAATATTTAATGTGTTTAAAATATTTAATACTGTAATTTGATCTTATGTTTGCGGATGTACAGTGAATTAAGGCTCATTCGAGCTGACCGAAATTTTTAATAGACATGCCATCCAAAGTAGTAATATACGATTGAAAGTTCATTTGACTAAAATATTTATTTCTCAGTAAGATAATTTCTTTGGTACGTACGTCATATATATCGTAGGATTTGTATGAAAGATTCAACTCAGAGATTTAAAATTGCAACGATTAGACGATATATATATATTTCAAGATCAAATAATATTTCAAATCATCAAGTCAATTTTCATCGAAGAAACATTTTTCTCGCGTGTTTGGTAGGCTAGAATTGGTCCCGGAAAATGAGAAACGATTTCCTCCGTGCACACGAGAACAAGTGGTTCCTTCCTCGCGTGGAATCGTGCTCTCGCGTAACGAGGCTTTGCGATTGAGAAGCTCTCTCTTTCTCTCTGGTGCAACGTGGTGTCCAGTTGCAACACGAGCTGGCCGTGTTGGCCCGTACAAAAGGGTCCTTTGTGCCGTCGCCTCGCGTCTAAATAGCCGTATGCGGCCTCCACGATGGCCAACTATCCGTGTACGGTTTATAGAAAAATCCCGTGGCGCACGTTGCCGTATCGTTTGGCTTCCTGGCTCGTGGGGGGTCGAATGCCGCCCATGACGGCCGCAGTTTTCAAGATTTGCCCTTTCTCTCTCTTATCCCGTTCGTTGTGCGATTAACAGCGAGACAATTCCATCGGTGGACAGATCGATTCCACCGGAAGGTCGTCCCTGTTTTTTTTCTCGTCACTGTTTAAACGACCATGAAGAATTGCGTCTAATGGAACGTGAGTCGTCAGAAGCCACATTGATCAATTTCAAATAAACAGAATAAAGAAAAATGACTATAAGTTACAAACACTGTTTTTATAAATTTATCTCAGACGTTTGATTCGACATAAATTTCATTTAGATCTTTATCTTGATATCGTTCGTTTAATTTAATTTTTAACTCGATTCGAATTTCTCTTCCTGTGAAGAGAAGTGAATTTCGAGGGAGAAAAGGAAATGGCCACAGGAAGGAACGATGATCGAGGCAAAAGTTTCTGGCAAACGTAACTGTGTTTTCGGTCGCAACGCAGAGAATAAAACGAGGGATGCGCCCGTCTAGACATCCAGATCCACGCAATTGTCTGGAGCCACTCGTGAGAAAACGAGAAGTCTTCCCAACGCGCCTAAGTACAGAAATGCGTGCTCCAGGGCTCTTTTCACACAATAGCGGCCATGCGCCACTCTCTTTCTCTCTCTCTCTCTCTCTCTCTCTCTCCTGTCAGACGCTTGATCTTTTGGTTAAAGTTCTGCGCTTCTTTGATTTTCCGATGTCCGAAAAATGGGA